CCCCCGCCTTTCGCCCCCCGAACCCCGCTCCCCACGGCACGCCCGTCGGGCGCCCACAACCCTCACCCGTTGCTTCGGCCCCGTTTTCTTCGTATCCCCGCAGGTGCGCATCCTCAACGGCCAGCTGCAGGCGCTGAGTCAGCTTGAGGGGCGGGTGGACGAGCTGGCAGGGGAGGTCGCGCGCGTCAGCGGCGGCGGCCGCGCGGCGTGACGTCATGGCGAATCAGCGGCGTTGCGGCGGCGGCAACGGCGGCGGCGGCGGCGGCGGCAATGGCGGTGGCGGCGGCAATGGCGGCGGCGGCGGCGGCGGCGGTCGTGCGGCGCGTTGCGTGGCGGCGGCGGCGCACGGGCCCGGTGGTGCACGGGCGCAGTTTCGCGGGCGCAGTTTCGCGGGCGCAGTTTCGCGGGCGCGGTCTTATGGGGACAGGCTTCCATGGCGGCGCGGCCTGTTTGGGCTGCGGCTGGGGGCCGGGCGCGCTGATCTATTCGTGCATGTGATTGAAGCCGCCGTGCCCGCACAGCGCGGGGCCGGCCAGGCGGGGACCTGCGTCGTGGGCGGCGTGTTTCAAAGGGGCTGGCTGGCAGGCGTTCTGGCTGCAGCGCCGCGTGCGCGGCGCGGCGTGAGATTTTGCTGTCCGGCTGTGAGGCTCTAGGGCTGTAACGCTGCCCTGCTGCAAGCGTCGCTGTGTAAAGCCCAAACCTCGTGACCGCGCTTTCGTGCAAACCCATCGCTGCGGCATAAGGAATGAAGCCCAGGCCAGCAGCCGCGGGCGCAAGCCCTGAGGCAGCCGGGCAGGGGCTGGCGTGCGCGCGGCGGCCGCCGCCGGGCACGCGGCGGGCCTGCGCCGCCGCCGCCGCAGCTGCCAGCGGGCGTCACAACCCGGGAGGCGGCGCGGAGCGATGAATGAGAAAAAAACAGGTCCGACGGACCCATAACCGCTCATAACCTGCCTGCCTTGAGCCAGCCACCCTTGAGCCGGCCCCCCTGCCTCGGGTACTGAGTGTGCTGCCCAGCGTGCGCGTCCACAGCGCCGCCCGCACGCCCCGCCTCAGCACAAGGAGTGATGCTGACGGCGGCAGCGGTTTCTGGGGTTGACGGGCCCCAGTCGCCGGTCTGCTTTACAATGTCGGAGTTGCTCTACAATTTGGGCCGGTGAGCAGCCTCGGGCAAGCCGGGGCCCCTCCCCGCTGGTCCCCGATCCCCTGCCAGCATTCGGGCAGCCGTCAGCGCCGCCGCGCCGCCCCCTGCTGTGCCCCCACCGCGCCAGGCGGCTCCACAGCTGTGGGCCCTGTGCCTGGCCGGCTGCCGCCCCCCGCGGGAGGCTCCGTTTGGTGGTGCAACTCAAATGAGCACTGCAGGCTCCCAATCGGGTTCAATGCAGCGCGCCGCATGCCTTCTTTCAGGGAAAGGCGGATCCCCGAATCGTCAAACAGCGGCGGCGGCGGCAGCAGCGAAACCTGCTGCGGCCCGGTGCGGCCCCCGCGGCCGTCCAGCAGAGCGGCGGTCGGCAGCCGGCAGCTGCCGACCAGCTGCCACACGCGCTCGTAC